GTCCTTGTATCTCCTCTTCGGGGCTCCTCTCTCACTGCAGCCAGTGGCAAGTTCCCCACAGAGCACGATCTTAGGGAGGCAGTGGTCCTGCATCCTGGAGACGTGCCCTGCCCAGCACAGCTGTGTTCTCAGCAGCATGGCCTCAATGCTCGTGACTGCTGCCTGTTCAAGGACAGACATGTTGGTCACATAATCCGTCCAGTGGATGTTGAGGATTGTACGGAGGCAGCGCTGATGGAAGCGTTCTAAGAGACGCAAGTGGTGCCGGTAAATGACCCACGATTCAGATCCATATAGAAGAGTAGACAGTACAATGTCTCTGTAAACACTGATCTTAGTACTTTTCTTCAGGTGTTTGTTTTGCCACACTCTTTTATGGAGTTTACCAAAAGCTCTGTACGCCTTTGCTAACCTGTTGTCTATTTCTGCATCAATCTTACCATTCGAGGAGATGATGCTTCCCAGGGAATTAAACTGCTGGACTGATTTGAGCTCTGATTCACCAATGGTGATATGGGGATGATGGGAGACTTCCTGAGGTGCAGGCTGATATAAAATTCTGTTTTCTTCAAGCTGACTTCCATCCCAAAAAGCTCAGCAGCCTCTGCAAAGCAGGATGTTAAACGCTGCAGAGCTGCTTCTGTGTGGGCGATGAGGGCATCATCAGCGTAAAGCAGCTCATGGACAAGATGACTGAAGGTCTTGGTGTGGGCCTTCAGTCACCTTAGGTTGAACAGGCTCCCATCGGTACGATATCGGATGTAGACACTGTTTTCATCATTGAGGTCTGCCGTGGCCCTTTGGAGCATCATGCTGAAGAAGATTGTGAATAGAGTTGGTGCAAGAACGCAGCCTTGCTTCACACCATTGGCTATAGGAAAGGGCTCAGAAAGTGTGTCCCCATATCTGACTTGACCACGCTGGTCCTCATGGAATGAGATGATCATTTTGAGGAACTTGGGAGGACATCCTAAACCTTCCAAAATCTACCACAGACCTTTTCTGCTCACAGTATTGAACGCCTTGGTGAGATCAACAG